TAATAATTAATTAACTAACTAAAAATAAAAGATAAAAATAAAATAAAAATGATATATGTAAGGTTTTTTCTCCATTGTTTTTTTCAGTTGTGTTATGCACCTCCATGATTTTAATGTTTTGCCTCACACTTCATTGATATAGATAATGTGACATTTCATTGATTTAAATAATGAGGTGGGTGTAATGGAAGAGTTATTCAGGGATAGCGGCATAGGCGTTGGTGATGGCGGAGATGTACGTGGAGACAGATATGTAACATTGCAATGTCTTTGGGGAGAAGAAGCATACGGTAGAAGAAGTTGGGGGAGTTTTTGTGTACACTGTTGTTTACTTTGGAGACGCTGCCCGTGGTGAGGAATAAAGGAAGAAAATGAAGTTACAGAGGTGGGGTCGACACTCGATCCGAAGAAGAAATTTAGTTCAAAAACATCTTCCGGATTCATCATTCCTGGAAGATTCTTTCTCCCCCGTCATCTCTCATTTTTTCAAAACCTTTTGCCTCTTTCACTGTCCTAATGTTTACAAATTCATTATTTTAATTGTTATTAATATTATTTAAAGTAAATATTGCATAAATTTTATTACTTTTATAAATAATAAATTATATTCTTATAAATATTTAATAAAATTTTATTTTAATAAATTTGTGTGCACGAGTCAAAATAGTACTTAAAAAATCTTATTTAAGTAAGTATTTAGATGTAACAGTTTTTCATGTGAAAAAGATTTTGACACTACACCACTGGCCGTGGTTAGTATTTTCAAGTTCTAATTATATCAACAAGTTTTAACAAACAACCAAACATATGACTAAAAATAAATAAATATACCGGAAAAGTTATTTGTTATAGATTAAAACTAATCAATTATTTGACTCTAGAACTTATTTTCAATGTTTTATTAAATGAATCTAATTTAGTTAATGTATAATATGGACCGACAAGTTAGTTTGGTTGATTAAACATCTCTCATTTTTATATGTTTTCCACCGAATACATTTTAACTTCTATTCTGTTTTTTCTATTTTAACTAATATTTTATTTATTTATTTATTTATGGGTCCTGATATTTTGACAACTAATTTTTTAACACACTTTTGACAATGTCATGTGTCAGCAGCCCATTGGTCCGCTTTTTTCTTTATTTTTATTGTTAAAATGTGACGTCGAAATTGAGGAGGATTTCAGAAATTTGGAATTCCAAATATACTCTTTGTCCTATTTCATTAGAAATCAACGTTCTCTCTCTTCATTTTCGTTCTCCTTTTCCTTGTCGTTCTCCATCTTTGTTCTTGCTCTCCCTCTTTGTTCTTGTTCTCCGTTGTCGTTGTCGATCTTCGTTTTCGTTACATCTGTTCGTTTGGTCAACGTGGTCTTGTTTGTTGAGGGTATTGTGCGAAATGGCAAGTTCCGGTGACCATGGTCTTTCGAGCAAGGTAAATGCATTCTCTCTCCATTTTCTTCGTTGCGTCTTGGGTTTGGGTTTGGGTTTTCCGTGTGGAGTTTAAATTTGTGTTGTTTTCGTTTTTGGGTTTTGGTTTTTTGCTTATTTTGTTTTCATTGATGCAATTGACTGTTCATCACTCTTTTTCAACAAAGTATATTTGTACTTTGAACGAACGTATGAAGACGTATGCAACATTGTACTTAGATGAACAAAGGAGTGTAATGTAACCTATTTTGTTCAATGTTATAAAAGATGCATCTTTGCTTCCGTTAAATATGCTTAATGTTAATTGAAATGTTATTCCCTTCGTTATTGTAATTGTGAAATGAGGTTTTGTTTGGAATGTTAATGAATAAAGTGGCCACTTTGATTGAGTATTCATGTTTGTGATGAATGAATGAAACAATGCTTGTGACATGATGAACTTAGCAGAAGTTCTGAAACTTCTGCACCAAAAAACATACTTGTAATCATATACAGGTGCTTGGTAAACGATTACACGAACAAAATTTAGGTTTTGTACAAAAACTAGTACTACACGAGCCAGCTGTGGTAACCTAGGTAACCATAGTCAAAATTTTTAATTTTTTGGCATAAATCAACTGGTTTTCACTTGATTTTAGTGTTTAAGTGTTAGTAGAGGCTGAAAGTCATGTTTGGGCAGCCCATGATTGAGGAAAGGAACAATGTTTATGAGATGAGCAACTTAGGTGAAGTTCTGAAACTTCTGCACCAAAAACCACACTTGTAATCGTTTACAGGTACTACGAACAAAATCTAGGTTTTGTACAGAAACTTGTAGGAGCCAGCTGTGGTAACCTAGGTGACCACAGTCAAAACTTTTTATTTTTTGGCATAAATCCAATGGTTTTCACTCGATTTTGTTGTTAAGTGTGAGTATAGGCTGGGAAGTCATGTTTGGGCACCCCATGATTAAGGAAAAGAACAATGTTTATGAGATGAGCCACTTAGGTGAAGTCCTGAAACTTTTACACCATAAAACACACTTGTAATCGTTTACAGGTGCTTGGTAAACGATTACACGAACAAAATCTGGGTTTTGTACAAAAACTTGTACTGTAGGAGTTAGTTGTGGTAACCTAGGTGACCATAGTCAAAATTTTTAATTTTTTAGCATAAATTCAATGGTTTTCACTCGATTTTGTTGTTTAAGTGTGAGTAGAGGCTGAGAATTCATGTTTGGGCACCCCATGATTGAGGAAAGGAACAATGTTTATGAGATGAGCAACTTAAGTGAAGTCTTGAAACTTCTGCACCAAAAAACACACTTGTAATCGTTTATAATTGCTTGGTAAACGATTACACGAACAAACTCTAGGTTTTGTACAGAAACTTGTACTGTAGGAGCCAACTGTGGTAACCTAGGTGGCCATATTCAAAATTTTTAATTTTTTAGCATAAATTCAATGGTTTTTACTCGATTTTATTGTTTAAGTGTGAGTAAAGGCTGGGGAATCATGTTTGGGCACCCCATGATTAAGGAAAGGAACAATGTTGATGAGATGAGCAAGTTAGGTGAAGTCCTAAAACTTCTACACCAAAAAACACACTTGTAATCGTTTACAGGTGCTTGGTAAACGATTACATGAACAAAATCTTGGTTTTGTACAAAAACTTGTATTGTAGGAGACAACTGTGATAACCTAGGTGGCCATAGTCAAAATTTTTAATTTTTTAGCATAAATTCAGTGGTTTCCACTTGATTTTGTTGTTTAAGTCTGAGTAGAGGTTGGAAAGTCATGTTTGGGCACCCCATGATTTAGGAAAGGAACAATGTTTATGAGATGAGCAACTTAGGTGAAGTCTTGAAACTTCTGCACCAAAAAACACACTTGTAATCGTTTACAAGTGCTTGGTAAACAATTACACGAACAAAATCTGGGTTTTATACAAAAACTTGAACTGCAGGAGCTAGTTGTGGTAACCTAGGTGACCATAGTAAAAATTTTTAATTTTTTTGCATAAGTGTAGTGATTTTCACTTGATTTAGTTTTTTAAGTGTGAGTAGAGGTTAGGAAGTCTTGTTTGGGCACCCCATGATTGAGGAAAGGAACAATGTTTGGGCACCAACTAGGTTACAAGTGTGTTTTTTGGTGCAGAAGTTTCAGGATTTCACTTAAGTTGGTAAACCATTGGATTAATTTAAAAGACTTATTAATATTGCGCATTCCTTTGTCATCAAAACACACACAACTTAAATAAAATAACATTACACATAAAATAATCATGAAAGCTATGATCTTATTGCAATAACAATTTGTACATATATATTACTGTTTGTTACAATCTGTACATATAACAATCTTATTGGAAAACAAATCCATCTTCCTTTAAATACAAACAAAATTTGTACAAATGGAAACAATCCTAGACCACCTATTTCTAAACCTATGGTCATGAACACATAAAAAACAGTAAATAGGACCAATTGTTGACTAACTCTAAAAGTAACATCATGCCCAGTCCAGCGTTGGACCATCACCTTCAATAATTTCAAATTCACCTCCAAATGGCTCAGAATATGCAAACACCACCTAAATGGAGTCATCTTAATGCGCTCTACATGAGCGTCTCCTACTAACCTATTCATTTCAACAGTGGTCGATGAATCCATTGAGATACGAAGGTACCACTACAAAACATTAACAAAAATTTATTATTAACTAACCATCAGAAGATAAAACATCATCTATAAAAATAAAAAATTACATTTCATTTTACATTTGCTTTTTGGGATGCCATTTGACCTGCAGTTATAACATAAACAAAACAACAATGTCAACAACATGGTTAGGGTTCGCGAAAGAAGAAAACGTCAATGGTGGAGAAGATGGTTAAAGTTCGTGCAATTCTACTTACCAAAAAACACCACGACAGCTAGAAGGCACAAGACAAATATGGGAGAGGGCTTCAATGGTGCACAGCTGGACGTCCAAGACAACGATAAGGTGAGACTTTAGGGTTTCAACACAAGACATATCAGAGAATGAGAGAGATGAGAGTACTGAGAGATGAGAGAACACGAGAGAGATGACAGAACGCGAGAGATGACAGAACGCGAGAGAAATGAGAGAGCAAACTGCGGATGAACGATGAATAGGAAAACCGCGAAATGAAAATTCGTATTTTTCCCTTTCAATAATACTCTCGCGTGATGAAAAACCTATTATTTTTTTTTAAATATCAGCCAATAGGCAACCGCTACATGACATTGGCAAAAGAAACGTTGTTAAAGTAGGGTTTTCGTTTATTTATTTACTCTCTACCCAACAAAGGTGAAAACAATTATAAGAAATGATTAGATTTAAATAGGTGTTAACCCTGAAAAACACGCGCACCAACACAGCTCTGTATTATTTCCTGACCCACCATTGATTCGTTGAAAGCTACAGTGGTGGTGTTTGAGCCAGGTATGTTCTTTATTCCTTCTATGGCAAAATTTTCTTACGTTTCCGTTTGGTTCTCGTGAAAACAAAGTTAAGAAGTGGAATTTCGTCAGTTTGCTCTGTTCTTTCGATGCATTTGCAGTGTCTAATAATTCTTATCAGGTGTCCCTTTGGTACTTGCTTTCTCATTTTTCTTCTCTTCAAAATGTTGTTTACGCACACTACTTTACCCTTTCCTTATGTTCTCAATTATCAGCTATTTGTGCCTGTGTTTTGAAATAAATACTAAATCCATACAAAGAGAATAAGAATACATTACACCGATTAGAAGGATAGTAGATCCTCCGTAAGATCAAATTTCAAAACCAATGACAAACCAAACAATACATCAATGAAACAGATCAATCCAATTCCTCAAACATAAGAAATAAGCCCTCTAAAATTCCCAAACACGTGCATATTATATTTTCAACAGCAGCATGTAGTTGTCTAATGAGCACTTATTTTTTAATTTTTATGATGGTGGTGTCTTGGGGTGTGAAGACTTGCCCGTAATGACTTTCTTCACTTTGGAAATTGAGTGCTTCACCTTTGATCCTACACCTGACAGGATGCCGTGAGATTTTTTGTGCAAAACTTTGGTGCCACTGTCTTGAGAGTCTCTGGATATGACACCAACACTAGATGATAGGCTTATTTTTTCGAATTCTTCTCCTGCTTTAACTTCTTTTGTGTTGCCCGATATACCAGTTTCGGCCTCTTGAGTTTCCAGTTTTCCAGTGTCTATATGTTCTGTGATATCTACGGAGACAGATTCAGATACACCTCCAAGTTTGGCAACTTCACGTTCCTTTCCAAGTTCTTTAGTATCACTACTTGGACTTATTTCTGCAGTCTCCAGTTCTTCTAAATTTGGATGTTTTTTAATGGTCTTCTGGTTATTTGCTTCAGATTGGACTTCGACTTTCTCGTCATTTTCCACGGAGGTGTTGCCTGGCCCCTTTTTTAAATCAAATGTTTAACATAAAATTGCATCAGAACTCAGATATTTGTACGTTGGGAAAATGAAGATTTGGTTTTCTAGACAAACATTAAATTAAGATGTGCAAGTCTGACATGCAATGTGGTATATGTCAGTATCTAGTTTAATTTATTGAAGTGAAGTCAAACCTCGAGAACTTCCATGTTCCTCACAAAATCATTTTCTGGTCTCTGCTCTGCTTTGGAATTGATCACTGCGGGTTGAACATCCTTTTGTATTTTTTCTTGAATGCTTTCATCAACTATCCCAATTCTTACAGATGGTATGGTAGATAAAAATGAGATGGCTTTATCCACAGATTCATCTGTCATTGTACAAGTAAGATGTTAAACACAATCTACTACCTGAGATTGGCTAATATAGTTCATGTTTAGTACATTTATACGTTTTCTTCAAAACTTTTAAATGATTCAAAATGTCATTTAGAATATTTTTTTTCAACAAACTTAATTTTAGTATTTGTTTTTTGGATGACATAGCATTGGGTAAAAGTAAAATAGAAAGTTATCAAAACATAACTACTTTCTGTTTTAAGCTTATGTAATTCAATACCTGTGGCTTCTTTTATATAAGATGCTTCTTCTAGCTTGACTCTTCTGCTATCCTTGATTTCTGAATTTTCTATAGTGTATGTGTTTATAACCTGTTCTTGTTCTTCCTCAGCATAACTTGACTTTGAACTGTTTTCAGTTATTTCCATTCCTTCTGAATTTACATTCTCCATGCTAGATTGTGGTGTCTTCTTGCCTTTGGTATATGTCTCTGAAAAATCTTCTTCTGGTTGCATCTCTTCTTGATTACTCTCATCAAGTGTTTTATTTTCGATCAATTCTGCATTGTTTAATGTTTTCGCTTTAAAATCAAACACACTATTCAAGCACAAATGAGATATTAAAAGAAGTGATTTACGCAAGGCTACATATGTTTCTATTTTAGTACAACAATGTTCATGTTCTCTTCAAAATTAAAAAGTCCTAGAGCTACAGCAACTCTTCATGGGGACACAAAACTACTACTTATCTTTTACCATCTACACACAAATGTGAATAATTTTTTTGCCATCTAAGGAAACTATTTTTGTAAGTGGATTAAAAGAATATTTCCTTCATCTGAAGTCATGTGCTTGTTTTTCTTTTCAGGTTCTTGTTTTTGGTTATCAAGGCAACTTGTATGGTAAAATTTCAGAACATAATTACNGTGGTAACCTAGGTGGCCATATTCAAAATTTTTAATTTTTTAGCATAAATTCAATGGTTTTTACTCGATTTTATTGTTTAAGTGTGAGTAAAGGCTGGGGAATCATGTTTGGGCACCCCATGATTAAGGAAAGGAACAATGTTGATGAGATGAGCAAGTTAGGTGAAGTCCTAAAACTTCTACACCAAAAAACACACTTGTAATCGTTTACAGGTGCTTGGTAAACGATTACATGAACAAAATCTTGGTTTTGTACAAAAACTTGTATTGTAGGAGACAACTGTGATAACCTAGGTGGCCATAGTCAAAATTTTTAATTTTTTAGCATAAATTCAGTGGTTTCCACTTGATTTTGTTGTTTAAGTCTGAGTAGAGGTTGGAAAGTCATGTTTGGGCACCCCATGATTTAGGAAAGGAACAATGTTTATGAGATGAGCAACTTAGGTGAAGTCTTGAAACTTCTGCACCAAAAAACACACTTGTAATCGTTTACAAGTGCTTGGTAAACAATTACACGAACAAAATCTGGGTTTTATACAAAAACTTGAACTGCAGGAGCTAGTTGTGGTAACCTAGGTGACCATAGTAAAAATTTTTAATTTTTTTGCATAAGTGTAGTGATTTTCACTTGATTTAGTTTTTTAAGTGTGAGTAGAGGTTAGGAAGTCTTGTTTGGGCACCCCATGATTGAGGAAAGGAACAATGTTTGGGCACCAACTAGGTTACAAGTGTGTTTTTTGGTGCAGAAGTTTCAGGATTTCACTTAAGTTGGTAAACCATTGGATTAATTTAAAAGACTTATTAATATTGCGCATTCCTTTGTCATCAAAACACACACAACTTAAATAAAATAACATTACACATAAAATAATCATGAAAGCTATGATCTTATTGCAATAACAATTTGTACATATATATTACTGTTTGTTACAATCTGTACATATAACAATCTTATTGGAAAACAAATCCATCTTCCTTTAAATACAAACAAAATTTGTACAAATGGAAACAATCCTAGACCACCTATTTCTAAACCTATGGTCATGAACACATAAAAAACAGTAAATAGGACCAATTGTTGACTAACTCTAAAAGTAACATCATGCCCAGTCCAGCGTTGGACCATCACCTTCAATAATTTCAAATTCACCTCCAAATGGCTCAGAATATGCAAACACCACCTAAATGGAGTCATCTTAATGCGCTCTACATGAGCGTCTCCTACTAACCTATTCATTTCAACAGTGGTCGATGAATCCATTGAGATACGAAGGTACCACTACAAAACATTAACAAAAATTTATTATTAACTAACCATCAGAAGATAAAACATCATCTATAAAAATAAAAAATTACATTTCATTTTACATTTGCTTTTTGGGATGCCATTTGACCTGCAGTTATAACATAAACAAAACAACAATGTCAACAACATGGTTAGGGTTCGCGAAAGAAGAAAACGTCAATGGTGGAGAAGATGGTTAAAGTTCGTGCAATTCTACTTACCAAAAAACACCACGACAGCTAGAAGGCACAAGACAAATATGGGAGAGGGCTTCAATGGTGCACAGCTGGACGTCCAAGACAACGATAAGGTGAGACTTTAGGGTTTCAACACAAGACATATCAGAGAATGAGAGAGATGAGAGTACTGAGAGATGAGAGAACACGAGAGAGATGACAGAACGCGAGAGATGACAGAACGCGAGAGAAATGAGAGAGCAAACTGCGGATGAACGATGAATAGGAAAACCGCGAAATGAAAATTCGTATTTTTCCCTTTCAATAATACTCTCGCGTGATGAAAAACCTATTATTTTTTTTTAAATATCAGCCAATAGGCAACCGCTACATGACATTGGCAAAAGAAACGTTGTTAAAGTAGGGTTTTCGTTTATTTATTTACTCTCTACCCAACAAAGGTGAAAACAATTATAAGAAATGATTAGATTTAAATAGGTGTTAACCCTGAAAAACACGCGCACCAACACAGCTCTGTATTATTTCCTGACCCACCATTGATTCGTTGAAAGCTACAGTGGTGGTGTTTGAGCCAGGTATGTTCTTTATTCCTTCTATGGCAAAATTTTCTTACGTTTCCGTTTGGTTCTCGTGAAAACAAAGTTAAGAAGTGGAATTTCGTCAGTTTGCTCTGTTCTTTCGATGCATTTGCAGTGTCTAATAATTCTTATCAGGTGTCCCTTTGGTACTTGCTTTCTCATTTTTCTTCTCTTCAAAATGTTGTTTACGCACACTACTTTACCCTTTCCTTATGTTCTCAATTATCAGCTATTTGTGCCTGTGTTTTGAAATAAATACTAAATCCATACAAAGAGAATAAGAATACATTACACCGATTAGAAGGATAGTAGATCCTCCGTAAGATCAAATTTCAAAACCAATGACAAACCAAACAATACATCAATGAAACAGATCAATCCAATTCCTCAAACATAAGAAATAAGCCCTCTAAAATTCCCAAACACGTGCATATTATATTTTCAACAGCAGCATGTAGTTGTCTAATGAGCACTTATTTTTTAATTTTTATGATGGTGGTGTCTTGGGGTGTGAAGACTTGCCCGTAATGACTTTCTTCACTTTGGAAATTGAGTGCTTCACCTTTGATCCTACACCTGACAGGATGCCGTGAGATTTTTTGTGCAAAACTTTGGTGCCACTGTCTTGAGAGTCTCTGGATATGACACCAACACTAGATGATAGGCTTATTTTTTCGAATTCTTCTCCTGCTTTAACTTCTTTTGTGTTGCCCGATATACCAGTTTCGGCCTCTTGAGTTTCCAGTTTTCCAGTGTCTATATGTTCTGTGATATCTACGGAGACAGATTCAGATACACCTCCAAGTTTGGCAACTTCACGTTCCTTTCCAAGTTCTTTAGTATCACTACTTGGACTTATTTCTGCAGTCTCCAGTTCTTCTAAATTTGGATGTTTTTTAATGGTCTTCTGGTTATTTGCTTCAGATTGGACTTCGACTTTCTCGTCATTTTCCACGGAGGTGTTGCCTGGCCCCTTTTTTAAATCAAATGTTTAACATAAAATTGCATCAGAACTCAGATATTTGTACGTTGGGAAAATGAAGATTTGGTTTTCTAGACAAACATTAAATTAAGATGTGCAAGTCTGACATGCAATGTGGTATATGTCAGTATCTAGTTTAATTTATTGAAGTGAAGTCAAACCTCGAGAACTTCCATGTTCCTCACAAAATCATTTTCTGGTCTCTGCTCTGCTTTGGAATTGATCACTGCGGGTTGAACATCCTTTTGTATTTTTTCTTGAATGCTTTCATCAACTATCCCAATTCTTACAGATGGTATGGTAGATAAAAATGAGATGGCTTTATCCACAGATTCATCTGTCATTGTACAAGTAAGATGTTAAACACAATCTACTACCTGAGATTGGCTAATATAGTTCATGTTTAGTACATTTATACGTTTTCTTCAAAACTTTTAAATGATTCAAAATGTCATTTAGAATATTTTTTTTCAACAAACTTAATTTTAGTATTTGTTTTTTGGATGACATAGCATTGGGTAAAAGTAAAATAGAAAGTTATCAAAACATAACTACTTTCTGTTTTAAGCTTATGTAATTCAATACCTGTGGCTTCTTTTATATAAGATGCTTCTTCTAGCTTGACTCTTCTGCTATCCTTGATTTCTGAATTTTCTATAGTGTATGTGTTTATAACCTGTTCTTGTTCTTCCTCAGCATAACTTGACTTTGAACTGTTTTCAGTTATTTCCATTCCTTCTGAATTTACATTCTCCATGCTAGATTGTGGTGTCTTCTTGCCTTTGGTATATGTCTCTGAAAAATCTTCTTCTGGTTGCATCTCTTCTTGATTACTCTCATCAAGTGTTTTATTTTCGATCAATTCTGCATTGTTTAATGTTTTCGCTTTAAAATCAAACACACTATTCAAGCACAAATGAGATATTAAAAGAAGTGATTTACGCAAGGCTACATATGTTTCTATTTTAGTACAACAATGTTCATGTTCTCTTCAAAATTAAAAAGTCCTAGAGCTACAGCAACTCTTCATGGGGACACAAAACTACTACTTATCTTTTACCATCTACACACAAATGTGAATAATTTTTTTGCCATCTAAGGAAACTATTTTTGTAAGTGGATTAAAAGAATATTTCCTTCATCTGAAGTCATGTGCTTGTTTTTCTTTTCAGGTTCTTGTTTTTGGTTATCAAGGCAACTTGTATGGTAAAATTTCAGAACATAATTACCTTCATTTTTTGTTTTTTCTAACTCCACGCCAGTTGGTTGTTTGGTATCTGTTACTTCCTCTGTGGTTGTTTTGCTTGCATACTTGATCCCTAAATTCTCTACCATCTGCAAGTTTACTGTCTTCTGTTCTTTCTTATCATAACTTAATTTTGAACTGTTTTCAGATGCTAAATGGCCTTCCGCTGTTATATAATCTGTAATCAGACTTTGCATGCTAGGTTCGTGTGATTGTTTGTCTGATTGCTCTTCTACTATGTTGATGTTTGCCTTGGTTTCAGGTTCCTATTTGAATAAATACAATATAAGTTTTGATAATAGGTTAAGGAAATAAATGAGTTTTTTTTTTCTCAGCAAATGCAGATGCTGCCAACCTCAACACTAGTGGACATTCTGTCAAGTTCATTTTCTGGAAAGCTTCTCAAGTTGTTATCAATTGTGTCTAATGCATCACTGGAAAGTGTTTGTTGCTGTAAGATTTGATCAGTGTCACCTTGGATAGTTGCAGGATCAGGCAATTTTGGCTGGACTTCTTCTGGTGAACCTGTCATTGTTTATCTGAGATTTTTCAACTGCTAAAATATTACTTTTTATTGATTTTGATAAGCATTGAATCTCAAAAACATAAAATTTCAACTTTCTGTTGTTTAGGGTTTAGGGTTCCAAGGCAAAATGAAGCTGACTAAAAGTAATGAAATTTGTGAGTTTTGAGCACATACAGTCTGTTGCTGAATTTAGTAATTTTATTTTTGTCATTTCTTCAATTCCTTTTGCTTCCTCTTCATTGAATATACTATCGTGGATCACTAATTTCTGCTTGGTGTGTGATTTTGGATTCACTTCTTTCTCTATATCACTAATGGCGTTTATGTTTTCTATCTCTCCATCTGAATACCGATTATCTATGAATGTGGTCTCCTTGTTTAGTGATGCCAGCTGGGATTCTAACTTCTGTTCATTTACCACCCTGATCTGACATGTATCTTCCTCTACCCCATCTACCTGTTTCAGCAAATACTGTGTCAGAGGTTGTAGATGTTCTATTTCATGATAAGAAATAATGTCCTTTGTGTGTGAATGATCAAATAGTTGTACAAGTGTGAAAATGAAAGGTTTTATTTTTCAGCTTTTATTTGTTGTAGTTTGCTCACACCTCAGGAATATGTTTTTGCATATTAAATTCATAGTGTGGCATCTTCACTTCTTTGATATGCGTCTCAGCATATTCTTCTCGTGGTTGAATCTCTTCTTGACAACATTCATCAAATGCATAATTTTTGACTGATGTGCTGGACATTGTTTGCATTCCTTTATCTTCAGCCACACCTATTGTTGTAGATATGAGATATTGAAATAAACCATTTTGTGAGAATAGAGAAACAATTATTGTTTTCTGATTATGTTTGGGCGAGTTTACACTTGGATAACTAAAGGGAGAAAATAAATATTATATTGATTACAATAATGATAATTGCATACTCAACTCCTCTATTTATAGCAATCACATTCTCTTAAAAAGGGAAATAACGTAATCTGGAATGAATGTATAGATTCTGGGAATATTTTCTTAGTTACTAATGATATTAGGATATTTTTATGGTAATAATCCCCTGTTTACAACATTTACCACTCAACATATTCATCTATTTTAACAATAATGATCATAAAGGTAATAAATAAACAACTATTTTGAAGAAAACAACTATAACATTACAATTTCATGGTTGACAGGATCACCAGAATTACAGAAAACCTTCAAGGCAGGTCTTGAAAGACTTTATTTAGAAAACAGAACAGTTGTCAATGTGACTGAATTACAACAATGCCTCCTAGGTACAAAGGTCTTTTGAGAGGACCTTAGCTCTCCCAAAAACCCCTTTTCCTCCAGAACTCCAAACACTCCTAACAACAACCTAAACACAGACCATATAGACTAGTATGTTACAATCTATAACCGTTACAACAGGTTATAACTAACTGCTTTATTTATTTCTTCTAGTATAGACTTTCCCACTGAACCTATTTGTTAAGAAGTGAACTTTAAGCTTAACTTAACCCCGTAGAAACGGCTTGTAAGGTGAGGTTTACACTTACTTATATATTCTAAATTGGCCTTATCTCTAGACAATATGAGACTTCCAACACATCCCCTCATACCGAGGTATATACATTTCGAGCGTGAGATTTGACATTAAAGGATGATGCGATAGCTGTTCGATAGGGGTGGAAGTTGGAACAATATGCGCAATAAACAACAAATCTCACTAGGATAGACTTTTACAATGGTTTTTATACCATGTTTAGAAGTGGATTTTAAGCCTAGCTCAACCTTACAAAAGCGACTTGTTCTAACAATGTTGGAAGTCCCACATTGACTAAAGATAAGACCTATTTAGAATATATAAGTGCGTGCAAACCACACCTTACAAGCCGGTTTTATAGGGTAGCGCTAGGTTTAAAGTATATTTCTTAGCATCAAAGCCTATTATAATGAAATTTGTTGTTTGTTGGGCATATTGTTCTACGTGATATCGGATCACTATCGGACCACCCAATAATGTCTAGTCTCACGCATGAGATGTATATACCTCAGCGTGAGGGGTGTGTGTGTTGGAAGTCCTACGTCAACTATAGATAAGGTCAATTTAGAATATATAAGTGGGTGCAAACCTCACATTACAAGCTGGTTTTGTAGGGCTGAGTTAGGCTTAAAGTTCACATTACATAAAACCTTCAAGACAGGTTCTTGAAAGACTTTATTCAGAACAGAACAGTTTTGTGAATGTGACAGGATTACAACAATGCCTCCTAGTTACAAAGGTCTTTCTAGAGGAACTTAGCTCTCCAAAACCCCCTTTCGTCTAAAACTCCAAAAACTCCTAGAACAACCTAAACACAGACTATAGGTACTAGTTTGTTACAACCTGTTATGGCTACAGGAGGTTATAACTACCTCCTTTATTGATTTCTTCTAGTATAGATTTCCCACTGAACCTATCAATGGAATACATTGAACTCAACTAAACACAATAACTAAGATACTTGGAAGGGTAATAAGCACTTTATCCTTCAATTTCCATTAAGATTGTGTATGTTCCTTTAAAACAACTTTAAGAATCTTCTTCATAGCATGGCAAAATTACTACTTAAACTCATATAGAAGTGAAAAAAAGTGTTTGTCATCTAAAACAAGTGCGTTTTTCGTTATCAGGCCATATTCTATGCTAAAATTTCAGAATACAATCACCTTCAGTTTCTGATTTTTGTATCTCCACATCAGTCAGTTGTTTGGAGTGTATTCCTTTTGCTCTGATTTCACTGGCATCCTTAATCTCTAAAAACTCCTCCAAGTGTGATTCTACTTTCTTCTGTCCATCAAGGTCAACATCATCACTTAATTCTTTATTGCTTTCTGATGTCGTATGTCTTTCAACTATTATATAGTTTGTAATGAAACTTTGCACACTTGATTCTTCTGATTGATGGTCTGCCTGTTCTTCTTTCACTAAGTCAGCATTTGCCTTGGTTTCCGGTTGTTTAGATTCCTATACAATATTTACAATATGAGTATACTTGTATAACATGTTAAGAAAATAAATTATATCTTTTTGTTCATAGCAAGCTAATATGTATGTAATTTTTTACTTCTTTACTTCAAAACCGTCTAACCTCAACAACTATAGACTTTCTATCAAGTTCAATTTCTGTCATACAGCTCTTGGCATTATTAATCACTTCTATTTCATCATCATGCAGTGTTTGTTGCTGTGACATTTGATCAATATCTTCTTGGACAGATGTTGGAGTGGGCAATGTGTGTTGTATTTCTTCCTCCGCTAACTGTTTTTCTATTGATTCTTCAATATCCTCTGCTTCTTCTAATTTGTCAGGATAAGATGTAATGTTTGTTTCTGCATTCACCTTTGTATTGCACTGTGGTGTCTGCACATCTTTGTTCAAGTTCTCTGTAAATTTTTCTGGACTACTCTCATCAAGTCCTTCATTGCCATTTGATGATGAATTGAGCCTTGTTATCAAGGCTTTATCTTCTGGCTCACCTATTGTTGTGCTGATGTCTTTGTCTTGTAACTGTGTTTTTGTTGATTCTTCGATCCCTTTTTTTTCTTCTTGTTCAAATTTGTCATCATCATTGTTTCCTGATTTCTCTTTAGGCTGAGATGTTGAAACCTCTTCTTGTTCCTCAGTGTCATTTGTGATCTCTATTTTTTCCCTATCCTCAGTAAAATACTGTGGTGTCTGCACCTCTTTGTTAACTTTCTTAATAAATTCTTCTTGTGGCTGTCTCTTTTCTTGACTCACACTAACCGCTCCCTTTTCAACAGATACTGTGTCAGGCATTGGTTGGAGAGAGTCATCTTCAAGCACACCTGCTATAGAACAAAAAATATTCAAAGGATTCATTTACACATTGGCTGCATATATTACTATTTTAATACAGTAATTTTGTCCCAGGGCCAAAAAAGACTCCCATGTTGGCCCAAAAGTTTCATATGCTTATTTATCATCCTCATATAGTTGAATAAAACTGTTTGTGTCATCTCATGATGCTAATTATTTTTTTTATTCTTATGCGGATTAAATAATTTTTGTTTCAGGTAAAGTCATGTGTTTATTTTTATTTTCCTTGCTTAAATATACACTTCGGCATCTACAAAATTTCTGAACACGATTACCTTTGGTTTCTGACTTTGGCATCTCCAAATCAGTCAATTGGTTGACATCTATTCCTTCCTCTGCTCTGTTTTCACTTTCATCCTTGTTTAAATTCTCTCTTACTTTGTCAAAATTGTCCTTGGTTTCTACTTTTTCACTTTTCTGGTGAATATATACAAGTATAATTATAAAATTTGCATAAGAGGTTGCAATAGTAAATGATTTTTGTTTGTTCACAGCAAGCAAATATATATGTAAATTTTTATTTGTTTACTTACTAATGCCTAACCTGAACAACAATGGCCTTTTCATGAAGTTCAATTTCTGGGATGTAGCTCAGCTTGGCATTATGAATCACTTCTGATTCATTAATATGCAATGTTTCTTGGTGCAGAATTTGATTAGTATCACCTTGGACAAAGCCAGGAGGGGGTGATCTTCTCTGGATTTCTTCCTCCTCCACTGAGTGTGTTTTTGTTGCTTCTTCAATTTCTTTTTCCTTTTCCTTTTGGTTGAATATATCCTCAATCCCTTCTTTTTCTTCTGCATGAGATGTCCCTTCTTTTTCTGCATTAGATGTTGAATTTTTGTCCTTTTCCTCAGCCTCATTATTGATGTTTATTTCTACACTTCCCTCAGTAATATATTCTTGGCTTTGCACCTCTTTGATAGATTTGTCTGAAACCTCTGCTTCTTGCTGTTTGTCTTGTTGACTGCTCTTCTCAACTGCTTCAGTTCTAAGCAAAACTGCATTGGCTATTGGTTTCAGAGTTTCATCTTTTGGCGCACCTGAATGTTATGAAACTGAGTTATTGAGAGTAATCATTTACACAAAGATTGCATATGTTACTGAACATTGGAGATCCTACATTGACTAGTTACATGATCAAATTATATTGTAAAAAAGATGCAAACCTGACTTTATTAACTTGTATTGTAAGGTTGAGTTAGGCTTAAAATTCAATTCCTAAGATAGTATCAAAACCTATCTTAGCAAGAGTTGTTGAACCTATTGTATCACATGCTATCGGACCACCCAAAAATATCTAATTCTAAGTCAAGATGTCTAGTCCTTGGCATATGCTCATTATACTGACTATATAAATAAGTGCAAAGTTCATTTTACCAGTCCATTTTGTAGGCTTGAGTTTAGCTTAATTCACATTCTAAGAATGTGTGAGTCATGTTTATGTTCTTTAGACAACTAATACAGTCCCAGTGCCTCGAAAAGCTCCCATATTGGGCCAAAGAATTACTATATACATGTTATCATCCGCATATAGTAGTGAGCAAAACTGCTAGTGTCATCTAAGGACACTTCTTTTTAAATATTTATGCACATTAAATAATATTTTGTGCATGCAAAGTTGTGTTGGTTTTTATTTTCGTTGTACAAATATACTATTGGAGTTTGTCTTCTGGTTCTTATTTTTGAGTCAATCAATTATAAAATTTCAACACTAAGTTACCTTTGATTTCTGACTTTACTATCTTTACATCAGCCAATTTTTCAGCATCTGTTTCTTCCTTTGCTATGATTTCACTTGCATCATTGGTGCCTAAATTCTCTGTTACAATGCTGACATTGTTCTTGGTCTCAGGTTTTTCAGTTTCCTGGTTGAATTTATAATATAAAAATTGTATAACAAGTTAGGAAAATGAATGATTTTTAGTTTGTCCAAAGGAGATGTTGCGTTTGTAAATTTTTACTCACGCCAAAGAGGCCTAACCTGAACGATAGTGGACTTTCTGTCAAGTTCAATTTCTGGTATGCAGCTTTGCTCAACATAATCAATAACTTCTGACTCATCAACTAGCAGTAATTCTTGCTGAGAGATTTGATCAGTGTCGCCTTGAACAAAGGCAGGAGTGGGTGATCTTATCTGCACTTCTTCCTCTGGTAATTGCACTTTGTTCGTTTCTTCAATACCTTTAGCTTCTTCCACTTGACCAAAATTTTCATCATCCTCAGTCCCTTGGTTTACTTCAGCATGAGATGTTTGAACCTTGTCATGTTCATCAATATAGATATTGGTCTTTATTTCTGTAGTGTCCTTAGCAACATATTGTGATGATTGTTCATCTTTGTTAGATTTTTTCTCTGTAATGTCTTCTTCGATCGGTATCTCTTTTTGATTAATGTCATCAACTGTTTCAACTGCTACTGCCACTTCTATTGGTTGAGGAACTTCATCCTCTGGCACCTCTTTGTCTGCAAAAATGAGACATTGAAAGCAATATTTAACTTGAATCTAACCATTGAAATGCATGCATAAACTCTTACGGAAACTAAAATAGTCTTAGGTGCCACAAAAAGATTCCATAATCACAGTGCCACAAATAAGACCCCGTGTTTGGCCAAAGAATTACTATATACATTGTGTCATCCACATTGACTAAAACATCTTCTATCATCTAAAGACACTTTTCCAATTTTTTGTATATTAAATAATATTTATGCATATGAAGTTATTTTTTTTGTTTTTATTTTCTCTATGAATATATTTGTTAGATATTTCCCATTCAGTTTATTATATTTCTGTTATTAAAGATATAAAGGGCTTAGATTCATTTCTTTGTATTTTCCTATTTATATTGATATGCAACCCTACATGCTTCATAAACATTAGGGATTCAACCTATGTCTCTTTCACTTTTATTTCAAAATGGTATGTAGTGCTAGGATAATCCTTGCCTCCTTGGTAAACCCACTGTTCGCCGGTGCTAAATTTTTATTTTTTATTTTTCTGAAAACTTTGTTATTTCCAGCATTGTTTTTAGTTTTCTTTTTCCACCCATTCTCACAAGCTTGGTTACAAAATTGACCATGTTATGCATTACATGGTCATCCTTCTCAATCTTCTATGGTTGCCCAAGTTGCTCCCTTGCCATTATGTGATCCTTCAGAATAGGATGCTATTTTCAATGAATTTCTCAAATGATATGAGGATCTTCGTAACTCTTGGTTCCATGACTTTTGTTGTACACATAGGTACATCATTTGCTAGCCTCACTCATTCCAACTCTCTTAGTCCTAGGGTTGTTGTCTCAGGTGCCATAGATCGCATTACTAGTATTAAATTGTTTTTCTCTTCTTTGACTACTTTGGGTTATTTACCTTTTGTTACCATGGCCAATGGCTCTAGGGCCTCCTCACATGTTGTTGGTATTATTTATCTTCTATCTTCTTTATCATTGATAATGTTCTTTATGTTTCTAGGTCTCTATTTAGTTTATTATCCCTTTACCAAAGATTATGTTTGTTTATAGGTTCAGAGTTCGAGATGGATGATTTGCATCACATGTGAGACTCATGGTCTTATCATCTTCAGACATCTACGAATGTTGGTTCGGTCATGGATTATCTCTCTATCATGCTTAGTGGGGTCATCCTAGCCTTGCCAAGATACGACAACTTGTTCCAAGTTTGTCTTGTAAGTCATGTCAATTAGGAAAACACGGTCTTAGTTCTTTTCTAAGAAGTGTTTCACAACGTGCTTTGTTTCCTTTTGCATTATTTCGTTCTGACATCTGGGGGACCAAGTCATGTTAAGTCAAATTTAGGATTTTAGTATTTTGTCACTTTTATTGATGATTATTCAAGATGTACTTGGTTGTTTTTAATGAAAGATCGGTCTGAGTTGTTGTCTATATTTCAATCATTATACAATGAAATTAAAAATCAATTTGGAGTTTCTTTTTGCACTTTGGGCAGTGATAATGCATGAGTATCTTTGTTATTCGTTTTAAAATTTGATGGCTTCTCATGACATTCTTCATCAAACCTCATGTGCTTATACATCTCAAAAAGATAAGGTGGTTGAGCACAATAATACACTTATCAGTTGAAACAACTGGCATAACATTAATCCATGGTAAGGTTCTCAACGTTTTTCGGGTGATGTTGTTTTTAGTGTGTTATTTCATTAATCGCATGCCACCTTGGATTTTAGATAACATAATTCCTCATTCTATTTTATTTCGTCTTGAACCTCTCCATCGTTACCACTTCAAGTCTTTGGGTCCACATGTTTTGTTCCTATTAGCTCAAAACCCATCTTTCAAGAAAGAATCAAAATATATTGCGATTGATTGTCATTTTATTCGAGAAAAGATTGTGTGTTGAGAAATCAAGACTGAGTTCATAAATTCTAGTGATCAACTAGCATGTGTGTTTACTAAATCATTATGGAGACCTAGAGTTGATTATATTTGTAATAAACTGAGTACCTATGATTTATATGCACCAGCTTGAGGAAGAGTATTAAATATTCTCCCATTCTATTTTTTATATTCTTGTTATTAAAGCTGTTACATTTAATGGGCTTAGACCCATCTTTTTTGTATTTTCCCTATTTATAAGTCCATAACCCTATGTGCTCTTTACACATTAAGGATTCACTATATGTCTTTCTCATTTATTTCAACAATACTATTGAAGGTTGTCTGTTGGTTATTGTTTTGAAGTCAAAATCAATTATAATGTTTTAAATTTAATTACCTTTGATTTCTGGCTTTGGCATCATAAAATCAGTCGATTTTTTGGCATCTGTTCTTTTCTCTGCTCTGATTTTGCTTGGATCACTGGTGCCTAACTTGTCTGTTGCTATGCCAACATTGTCCTTGGTCTCAGGTTTTTCAGTTCCCTGGTTGAATTTATGGAATATATGTATAAAATTTGTAAAACAAGTAAGGAAACCGCATGATTTTTAGTTGGTTCAATGGAGATGTTATTTATATAATTTCTTACTCGTTAACACAATCTAGGACTAACCTGAACCATAGTGGACTTTTTGTCAAGTTGAATTTCTGGTTCTGTATGGGAGCTTTGCTTCATATAATCAATAACTTCTGACTTATCAACATGTAGTGGTTCTTGCTGTGAGATTTGGTCAATGTTGCCTTGAACAAAGGAAGGAGTGGGTGATCTTGTCCGGACTTCTTTCTCGGGTAACTGCATTTTGCATGTTTCTTTGATACCTTTGCATTCTTCCTGTTGACCAAAATTTTCATCATCCTCACTTCTTTCTCTTACTTCTGCATCAGATGTTTGAACCTTGTCATGTTCATCAGTATAACTATTGATGTTTATTTCTGCAGTGTCCCCAGCAACATTTTGTGTTGTTTGTTCCCCTTTGTTAGAATTTTTCTCTGTAATGTCTTCCAGCTGTATCTGTTCTTGATTACTGTCATCAACTGATTGAGCTCTGACCACTACTGCAATTGTTATTGGTTGCAGAAGTCAGCACATTTGCTTTTATAAAAATTAGATATTAAAACCAATGATTAACATGAAGGCTGCTATCTTACTATTCAAATGAATCTGTAAGTTGTCTTTAAAATAAAAATAGTCGTAGTGCCACAATAAGGTTCCGTAGTCACAGTGCCACAATAAGGTTCCATATTCAAATGCCACAAAAGGCTGCCGTAATTTCCCAGAGAATTACTATACGTATATTTTGATTCACATTTAGTAGCGGGTCCAACTGCTAGTGTCATCAAAATGCACTTGTTTTAAAATTTTTATATACTTTAAGAGATATTTCTTGCACATAAGCTTTGTTTTTATTTTCTCCCTATGAATATACATTTCGATTTGTCTTTTGTTAATGTTTTCTAATCAAAATGGATTCTAAAATTTCAAAACCTGGTTACCTTCGATTTCTGACTCTAGTATTTTCAAATCAGCCAATTTTTTGACATCTGTTTCTTCCTCTGCTCTGATTTCACTTCCATTGGTGGTGCCTAAATTATCTGTTACGTCGCTGATATTGTCCTTGGTGTCGGGTTTTTCGGTTTCCTGGTTGAATTTATATAAGTATAAAATTTCTATAAAAAGTTAGGAAAACGGTTAATGTTTGGTTTTTTCAAAGATGTTATATATGTAAACTTTTACTCATTTATACCACTTAGTCCTAACCTGAGCAATAGTGGACTTTCTGTCAACTTCAATTTCTGGCATGCAACTTTGCTTGGCATAATCAATAACTTCTAATTCATCAATATGCAGTAATTGTTGCTTCAAGGTTTGATCAGTGTCGCATTGAACATAGGCAGGAGTAGGTGATATTGTCTGCACATTTTCCTTGGGCAACTGCATTTTTTTTGTTTCTCCAGTAGCTTTGGGTTCTTCCCCTTGACCAAAATTTTCATCTTCCTCAATCCCTTGTTTTACTTCTACATTAGATTTTTTAACCTTGTCATGTTCCTCAGTATAGCTAGTGGTGTTTATTTCTGCAGCGTCCTTAGCAACAAATTGCGGTGTTTGTTTCTCTTTGTTAGATTTTTTCTCTGTAATGTCTTCGTCCAGTTGTATCTGTTCTAGTTTACTGTCATCAACTGTTTTGGTTAGGACCGCTACTGCCGTTGCTATTGATTGCCGAACTTCATCTTCTGGCACAACTTTTTATAAAAGTAGATATTGAAACCAATCATTAACGTGAAAGTTGCTAACTTACTATTTAATGCATGAATAAGTTCTCTTGAAAATAAAATAGTCCCAGTACACCATAAAGCTCCCGTATTTGACAAAGAATTACTGTGTACTTGTTATCATCCACGTGTATCAGTGAGTAAAACTGCCAGTTTCATCTAGACACACTTGTTTTTAATTTTCTATTTACATTTAAATATATTTCTTTCATGGAAAGTTAGTTTTATTTTCCTAATACGCTTGGATTTTTTCTTTTAGTTAGTGTTTTCTGGTCAAAATAGATTCTAAAATTTCAAAACCTAGTTACCTTCGATTTCTGAGTCATGCACCTTGAAATCAGCCAAGTTTTTGGAATTTGTTTCTCCCTCTTCTTCAATTTCTCTTGCATCGTCGGTGCCTAAATTCTCTGTTACTTTGCTGATATTGTCCTTGTTCTCTGGTTTTTCAGTTTCCTAGTTGGAATTTCTATAACAAGTTAGGAAAATGATTGATGTTTGGTTTTTGCAAAGGAGATGTTGTATATGTAAATTTTTACTTATTCACACCACTTACGCCTAACCTGAGCAATAGTGGACTTTCTTTCAAGGTTGGTTTCTCGTATGAAACTTTGCTTGACATAATCAATAACTTTTGATTCATCAACATGCAGTAATTCTTCCTGTGAGATTTGTTCCATGTCACTCTGAACAAAGGCATGAGTGGGTGATATTGTCTGGATTTCTTCCTCCAGTAAGTGCATTTTGTTTGTTTCTGCAATAGATTTGGCATCTTTCTGTGGACCAAAGTTTTCATCATCCTCAATCCCTTGCTCTCTTTCTGCATCAGATGTTTGACCCTTATCATGTTGATCAGTATAGCTAGTGGTGCTTCTTTCTGCAGTGTCCTCAGCTACATATTGTGGTGTTTGTTCCTCTTTGTTAGATCTTTTCATTGCAATGTTTTCTTCCAGCTGTATCTGTTCTTTACTGTCATCAACTGTTCCAGTTACAACCGCTTCTGCAATTGCCATTGGTTGCCGAACTTCTTCTGGCACATTTTTTTTTATGAAAGTAATCATTAACATGAAGGCTGCTATCTTATTATTTAAATACATGTATAAGTTCTATTGCAAGTAAAAATAGTCCCAGTGGATCATAAAGCTCCCATATTTGCCGAAGAATTGCTGTGTACATGTTATCATCCACATATAGTACTAGTGAGTAAAACTGCCATTTTCTTCTAAACACACTTGATTTTCAATTTCTTTGTACATTAAATAATATTTCTTTCATGTAAAGTTGTGCTTAGTTTTATTTTCATTATACTATTGGAGTTTGTCTTTTGGTTAGTGTTCTCTTCTAGCCTAAATCGATTCTAAAATTCAATACTTAGTTACCTTCGATTTTTGACTTTGTCATATTTATATCCGTTAATGTTTTGACACCTATTTGTTCTTGTCCTCTGATTTCGCTTCCATCGTTTGTTCCTGTTACTGTGCTGATATTGTCCATGTGCTTAGGTTCTTCAGTTTCCTGGTTGAATTTATGAAATATGAGTATAAAATTTCTATAACACATTTGGAAAATGATTCATTTTTTCTTTTTCAAAGGAGATGTTATATATGTAAATTTTTACTCAGTTACACTACTTAAGCCTTACCTGAGCGATAGTGGACTTTCTGTCAAGTTCAATTTCTTGTATGCAACTGTGCTTGACATAATCAATAACTTCTGATTCGTCAGCATGCAGTAATTCTTGCTGAGAGATATGGTCAGTGTTGCATTGAACAAAGTCACGAGTATGTGATCTTCTCTGAACATCTTCCTTTGGTAACTGTATTTTGTTTGTTTCTGCAATAGCTTTTACTTCTTCCCATTGACCAAATTTTTTATCATCCTCAATCCATTCTTTTACTTCTGTAGCAGATGTTTGAACCTTATCATGTTCTTCAGTATAGCTATTGGTGTTTATCTCTGCAGTTTCCTCTGCATCATATAGTGCTGTATGTTCCTCTTTAGATTTTTTCTCTGTAATGTCTTCTTCCAGCTTCATCTGTTCTTGTTTACTGCCATCAACTGTTTTGATTATGTCCACAACTGCAATTTCTGTTGGTTGTGGAACTTCATCTTCTGGGGCATTTTTCTTTTAAAAGTTAGATATTGGATCCAATTACTTACATGACTGCTGCTATGTTACTATTTAAATTCATGTATAAGTTCTCCGTAAAATAAAAATAGTCCTAGACTTAATTCGAACGTATTTTCCAAAAAACTACTGTACACATGCTATCATTCACTTATAGTAGTGAGTAAACCTGCTAGTTTAATCTAAAAACAATTGTTTTAAAATTTCTAAGTACATTAGTTAATATTTCTTTTGATGTAAAGTTGTGATAAGCTTTATTTTATTTTTACCATTGGAGTTTTTCTTTGGTTAGAGTTTTTGAGTCAAAAGCGATTTTAAAATTTCAAAAGCTAAGTTACCTTGGATTTCTGACTTTGGGATCTTCAAATCAACCAATTTTTTGACGTCTATTTCTTCCTTTGCACTGATTTCGCCTGCATAATTTGTACCTAAATTCTTTGTTTCTTTGCTGATATTTTCCTCGGTGTCAGTTTTTTCAGTTTCCTGGTTGAATATATGAAATATAAGAATAAATTTTTCATAATGAATTAGGAAAATGATTGATTTTTTGTTCTTCCAAATGAGATGTTATATATCTAAATTTTTACTCATTTACACCAGTTAGGCCTAACCTGAACAATAGTGGACTTTCTGTCAGGTTCAATTTCTGGTATGCAAATGTGCTTGTCATAATGAATAATGTCTGACTCAACATTATGCAGTAATTCTTTCTGTGAGATTTGATCAGTGTCTCCTTGAACAAAGGCAGGAGTGAGTGATCTTTTCTGAACTTTTTGCTCAGCTAACTGCATTTTTCTTGTTTCTTCAATATCTTTGGTTTCTTCATCTTGATCAAAATTTTCATCATCCCCAATCCCTTCTTTTACTTCAGCATGAGATTTTTGAACCTTGTCATGTTCATTGGTATAATTATTAGTGTTTATTTTAACAGTGTCCTTAGCAACATCTTGTAGTGTTTGTTCCTCTTTGTTAGATTTTTTCTCTATTATGTCTTCTAGCTGTATCTGTTCTTTATTACTGTCATCAACTGTCTCGGTTTTGACAGCTGTTGCAATTGCTACTGGTTGTGGAGCTTCATTATCTTGCACACCTGTGTTTATAAAAATGAGATATTGTAAGCAATCTTTAACACGAAGGCCTATCTTACTATTCAAAAACATGTTTAAGCTGTCTTGAAATGAAATAGTCCGAATGCCACAAAAAGTTCTGTAGTCACAGTGCCACACAAAGATCCTGTATTTGCCCAAAAAATTACTATATACACATCCACATATAGTAGTGACTGCAATAGAACTGCTAATATTATCTAAAGAGTCTTGTTTCTAAATTTTTATGTACACTAATAACATTTCTGGCACATAAAGTCACGTGTCTGTTTCTATTTTCCTTGTAGGAACATATGATTGATGTTTGTTATGGTGGGTTAAAAGCAATTCTAAAATTCCAAAACTTGTTTACCTTTCATTTCTGGGTCATGCATCTTGAAATCAGCCAATTTTTTTGAATCTGTTGCTTCCTCAGCTATGATTTTCCTTGCATTGTTGGTGCCTATATTTTCTGTTATAATGCCGACATTGTCCTCGGTCTCAGGGTTTTCAGTTTCCTGTTTAATTTATGAAATATGTGACAAATATTTTTTCTGATATTATTCATAGAGGAGCAATTGCTCTTTAACAAAATACAAAGACTTAATGACTGTAAATATTAATTTATGATGGATATAATCTATCCCTACAATAAATATGAAATATATTGTCAGCTTATTAATCCTCCTAATTATTTAATTAAAACACTACAAGGAAATATTAATTGGAACATAAATCAAGTTGGTGAATGGATGTCATCCATTTCCAAATTGCCAACAATTGACTGAAATGCACCATTGAACTCTTTTGTCAATACATTTGCATGATAGTTTCTCCAGGATACAGATGATAACAATGCATCCAATAAGTCCAGCACATTTTTGTTGGGAGATGAAAATTCCATGATGGAAGAAGCCATTTCAATGCCCAAACAACAATATTTCAATTTGCCAAACTCCTTTAAATCAAATTTTGTTATCAAATGCTTTTTTTAGGCTTCCATTCTTGCCTAATCATGTTGCAACAATATCATCTGCATAGACAATTAGTGCAATAAATCTTCCTGCTGCATGCTTAATAAATACTGTCGATCACCTTAACTTTGCTTGTACCCCATGGTCTTCATTACAGTAGTAAACTTGCCAAACCATGCTCTAAGAGACTATTTTAATCCATATAGTGTCGTTCTTAGTTTAGACACCTTACCCACCTCGACTTTAAACCCAGGTGGGAGCTCCATGTAAACATCTTTTTCAAGATTCCCATGAAGAAATTTGTGACATCAAATTGCTTAAATTCTGTCCATAGTTAGCTGCTAGAGATAATAAAATTCTAACAACATTCATTTTTGCAATAGGTAAAAAAGTTTCGAGATAGACAATCCCATATGTTTGAGTATATCCTTTAGCTACTAACCTTGCCTTATACTTTTCTAATGTCCTATTTTGCCTTGTATTTAATAGTGAATACCCCACCTACATCCAACAAGTTTCTTTCCTTCTGGTAGATCTACCAACTCCCAAGTTTTGTTCTTTTTTGGAGAAACCATTTCAACCTTCATAGCATTTTTCTAGTCCTTACTAATCAATACATCATCCGCAGTTTCTGGAACAAGGACAATATTTAGATAACAAAAAAAGCTTTTGTGATTACCATGTAGTTTATCATTGTTAGATATATTATCTTTATTTTATATTTATCTTTTATCTTTAGTTAGTTTGTTATTATTTCTTATTTGTATTTTGGGTTTAACGCATATTTCTTCTATTATAAATAAAGGATCCTATGTGTATATTCAATACAAGGGAGATTAATCTCATATATAGTTTTCACTACATTCAACTATCATAAAAAACAATGTGACAATTGATTCCTATGCTTTTGAGTACACGCTCTAACACCTTTCCTTACTATGATTGGTAGATCCTGAACATCAATGGTTGGCATAATCTATTCCTATTTAATGTTAGATATTTTAGGTATACGTTCATGTTCATGGACTTGTGATGATTGAATAAGAGACTTTCTCCTTCATGAGTATTCTTGCATTGGATGGATAACACTTTGATTTTTGTTTCCAAGTTATCTTCGGACTTGACAAGAAAGGAGAATGAATACAATAAGCATCAGGATCGGTGAAATATTAGACTCAATAGATGGTGGAATGTTAATGGAACTGAACTTTTTTGTTAAGAATGAATTATCCTTATCTTCAACGCATGAGCTTTCCCCCTAAAGATAAGGTTGAAAATGTTGTGTATTTTTATCAAAGGTGACATCATAGGACAGAAGGAATCATTTTGTTGGAGTGTGGAATTTGTATCCATTTTGGCTAAGCGGTCAAAACAATAAACTGCACTTAATAGGTAGAGGATCAGGTTTCCCGCTATGATTAAAATGAACACGAACAAAGGATACATAGCCGATGACTCGAGGTAGAACATGATTTAATCTCCTAAAGTCCGGGAAAAATTTGGAGAGTAGTTGAATGAGACTATTATTGCTTAGTGTTTTGTAAACAATTGACCAAATACGTAGTAGGAAGGACAACTCCTTCCCAATACTATTTTGGTACATTTTTATGGAGAAAGGAGGCTTGAGTTACATTTATGAGATGTCCAATTTTTTGTTATGCCACCCCATTTTGCGGTGGGGTGTTCATACAAGAAGATAAATGAATTATCCCCTTGTTCATTGAAGGAGGACAATCTTTGGTTGAAAAAATGTTTGGCATTATCTTAATGGATTAATGGTTGTCTCAAACTGATTTTTAATCATTTGGATGAAGTTTTGAAAACTTGGCTCACTTCACTTTTTTGTTTCAAGAGAAATACCCATGACACTTGATTTCAATCATGAGTGAATAATGCAAACCAACAATCCCCAAATAGGTTAGGAATACTAGAGGGTCCCCACACATCACTATGTATTAATTCAAAGCGAACAATCATTCTTTTATTACTAGAGGGAAAGTTAAAATGCTTGTGCTTCAAAAATTGACAGATATCACAATGAGGCATTTGTTTGTCAACTTTCTGAAATAAATTAGGAAACATAATTTCTAGGGTACTGAAGGATGGATGACTTAAAAAAGGTGGTATAACTAGATTTTTCTTTATTGGAGAGAGTTGTTTCTGACATCAAAGAAAAAGGAATTTGCTATTAGTACTAGCCATCCTGTTAGCGTCCTCTAGAAGGTATAGCCCAGTGTCTTCCTTATCAAGTCCAATCATCTTCCCCGTTCTCTAATCCTGAAACTGGCAAGTTGTAGGATTAAAAAACACCAGATAGTGTAAATCCAACACAGGAAATTCTAAGATTAAGGGGTTTGCTGGACACATTAACAAAATATGTATACTCAGGTAATTGCTCCTTACTATTCTTAGGTAATATTCCTTACTTTTGTGCACTCAATGCCTTAAATTCATTTCAATAACGTGTCTTGGTAGTTTATTGTGGAGCCACAGACCACAAGACTCAATCATTTAATCGGTTTATATCTTATGGACATTGCCCAAGCAACAAAAAAATTACACTTGCAAATGGAACTTTCATTACAGTTATTTGAAAAGGAGATATTGTGATAAATGAGAATATAATTCTGAAGGATGTTTTGCATGTTCCCAAATTATCTTCCAATTTGACTTTTGTTCACAAGCTTAGTGGTGGGTAAAATTTTGAGTATCGGACATTTTTTAGGTTTGAAGTATGACAATGCAAGCCTAGAAGGAATACAGTGGAAGAAAGGAAAGGTTGTGGAGTTGCTGCTATGCAAGCTGTGTGGAAGAATACAGTAGAAGAAAGAAAGGGGTTTGGTTTTGCTCCAGTGCTGGTTGCACATGAGATTATACATGCTTTCAAGGATTTTAGAGCACTGATACCATGTCAGAAACACTGTTGCTAATATTATTCATAGAGGAGCAAGGAGCAATTGCTCTTAAATATAAAATAAAGACTTATAACTGAAAATCCTAATTTATGATAGATATAATCTATTCATACAATTCAGGGTCAATGATCCTACACAATTAATATAAAATATATTGTCATCTATTAATCCTCCTAATTGTGGAATGTAATTAAATCTTCAAATTATGTAATTAAAACTGCACAAGAAAATATTAACTGAAGCATAAATCAATTTTCACAAAATATAAGGTCAAATTTGTATAAGTTTAGAAAATGAATGTTATTAGTTTGTCCAAAAGAGATGTTATATCTTTAAATTTGTATAAGGTTAGATCAGTATTTCCTAACCTGAACAATTGTGGACTTTCTGTCAAATTGCATTTCTGGTGTGCAGCTTTGCTTGATATTGTCAATAACTCCTGATTCAACAACATGAAGTAATTCTTTTTGTGAGATTTGATCAGTGTCATCTTGAACAATGGTAGGTGTGGTTGATCTTGTCTGGATTTCTTCCTCTGGTATCTTCATTTTGCTTGTTTTGTCAATACCTTTGGCGTTTTCCGTTTGATCCAAATTTTTCTCATTCGCAATCCCTTCTTTTACCTTGGCATGAGATGTTTGATCCTTGTCATGTTCATCAGCATAATTATTGGTGTTTATTTCTGTAGTGTCCTCATCACAATAGTGTGGTGTTTGTTCCTCTTTGCTAGATTTTTTCTCTGCAACGTCTTCTTCGAACTGTATCTTTTCTTGATTACTGTCATCAACTGTTTCAGTTCCAACTGCTACTGTAATTGCTATTGGTTCGTATTCTGGCACATTTGTTGTTTTAAAATGGAGATATTATAAGCAATCATTAACTTGAATGCTGCTATCTTACTATTTAATTGCATTGTAAAAGTTTTTGAAAATTAAAGTAGTCCAATGAGAGAAAATAATTCATATTGGCCCACAAAGTTCCTATGTTATCTACGGTAGTGAGTAAAGCTGTTTGTGCCATCTAAAGGTGGTTATTTTGTTATTTTATGAATAATTGGCATCTTTCTTAAGTCATGGTTTACTTTTGTATTTGTTCAAAAGTAGACTATAAGTTTAACTCAATTCCACAAAACCGGTTTTTAAGATAAGGTTTGTATCAATTTATATGTTCTAAATTGGTCTTATCTCTAGTTGATGTGGGATTTCCAACAATATTCTTTTTCCGAATGTATGAATCACATTTATTTCTCGGTTGAGGATGTCATGCCAAATTTTTTCCAAAATTTCGAAAACTTACTTACCTTCTGCTAGTGAATTTGATCGTTCCACTTCTGTTACTTGTTTGTCATATGATCCTTCCTCTGCTCTGATTTCACTTGCATCCTTCTCATCAAAATTCTTTGTTATTATGTTGACAATGTTCTTGGTTTCAGGTTTTTCAGTTTCCTGGATGATCATGTAGAATATTATTATAAAACTTAGGAAAATAAATTATTTGTGATTACAACAAGCTAATATATATGTAAATTTTTACTTGTTTCCTTCTCGAATGTCTAACCTGAGCAACTGTGGAATTTTCATCAAGTTTGATTTCAGGTATGCAGCTTTGTTTGGCACTATCAATTACTTTTGATGCATCAATGGGCAATGTTTCTTGAATAGGAACTTGATTTTTATCTCCTTGGACAAAGATAGAAGTGGGTGATTTTGTTTGGATTTCATCCAGTGATTGTAGTTTTGTGGTTTCTTCAATTCCTTTTGCTTCTTCCTTGTGATTGAATTTATTCTTAATCCCTTCGACTTCAGCATGAATAGATGGAACCTTTTCTTGCTCCTTAGTATAATTTGTGGTGTTTATTTCTATAGTTTCTGCGGTAACATATTCTGGTGTTTTCACATCTTTGTTAGATTTCTGTGTAACATCTGCTTGTGGTTGTATCACTTGTTGACTACCCTCATCAATTGCTTCGGTTACGTTTAATACTATGTTTGCTTTTAGTTGCAGAGCTTCATCTTTTGGCACACCTGTTATTATAAACGTGTTATGGAAATCAATCATTTACATAAAGCCTGTTTTTCTTACCCTTTTAAGACAAGTATATGTTCTCTTGTATTTGCATGAACAGTTGTTCTGTTATGATCCTCATATATTAGTGTAGCGACTAAAATTGTTTGTGCATGTGAATTCAATAATTTTTTTTTGTCTCATTTAAAGTCATGATTTTAAGTTTATTTTCCTAGCATGAATATAACCTTTGTTATTTTTTCATTTATGGTTTTGAGTCATGTTTGCTTCTAAAACTTGAACACTTAATTACCTTTGACCTCTGAATTTGGTATCTCCACATTAGTCAATTGTTTGACATATGCTCCTTCCTCGGCCTGAACTTCAATTGCATCTTTGTTGTCTAAATCCTCTGCTCCTGTGCTGATGTTGTCCTCGATTTCTGGATTGTTAGTTTCCTGGAGGAATATATGCACCGTAATATAAGTATAATATTTGTTTGTTCAGATGAAGCTTGACATACATGTAAATTTCTGCTCTTTTACTTCAGTATTGGCTTACCTGAACAACAGTGGACTTTCCATCAAGTTCAATTTCAGGTATGGATCTGTGCTTGTCATTATCAAGAACTTCTGATTCATCAATGTTCACTGTTTCTTGCTGCAAAGTTTGACCACTATCACCTTGGACAAAGGCAGGAGTGGGAGAACTTGTCTGGAATTCTTCCTCTGGGTTCTGAGTTTTGATGTTTTCTTCAATCCCGTTTGCTTCTTCTTCATGTAATTTTGCACCATCCCCAGTTCCTTCTAGTTCCTTGGCAGGAGATGTTTTAACTGTGTCATGTTCCTTAGTACAATTATTGGTGTTTATTTCGGCAGTCTCCTCAGTAATAACAAATTTCTTAACTAGCACCTCCTTGTTAGATTCATCTGCAGTCTCCTCAGTAATATCTTCTTTTGGCTGTGTCTCTTGTTTACCACTCTCCTCAACTGCTTCAGTTCTGACCAGTTCTGCATTGGCTATTGGTTTCAGAGCTTCATCTTCTGGCACACATTATTTTATAAAATTGAGATATTGAAAGCAATCATTTACACAAATACTGCATATCTTACTATTTAAGTACGTATAAAAGTTCTCTTGAAAACTAATATAGTCAGAATTCCAAATTTTTCTTTCATCATTTTAGGTGGTTTGAATAATGTTTCAGTCAAATATCCCGTGTTTATTTTTATTTTCCTGGCATGAATATACACTTTCTGTTTGCTGCTTGGGTTAGAATTTTCAATCAAAGTCATTTCTAAAATTCAAAAAGTTATTACCTTCAATTTCTGGCTTTGGCATCTCTGAATCAGTCAATTTTTTGGCATCTATTTCTTTCTTTACTCTGATTTCAGTTGCATCCTTTTTGTACAAGCTCTCTGATACTTCAGTTTCCTGGTTGAATTTATACAATATAAGTAAAAAAATTTCTAACAGGTTATTAAAATAAACAATTTTTGTTTGTTCACAGCAAGCAAATGTATAGTAAATTTTTACTTGTCTACTTCAATAATGCCTAACCTGAAAAACAATGGCCTTTCCATCCAGTTCAATTTCTGGTATGTAGCTCTGCTTTGCATTATCCATCACTTTTGATTCATCAGCATGCATTGTTTCTTGATGTGGAATTTGATTAGTATCACCTATGACAAAGGCAGGAGCATGTGTCTGGACTTCTTCCTCCTCTGATTGTGTATTTGTTGTTTCTTCAATTAATTTTTCTTTTTCCTCTTGTTTGAATATATCCTCAATCCCTTCATTCTCTTTGGCATGATCTGTTGGATTTTGGTTCTTTTCCTCAGCATAATCAGTGATGTTTATTTCTACATTTTCCTCAGTAACATATTCTGGAGTTTGCACCTTTTTGTTAGATTGGTCTGTAATATCTGCTTCTAGCTGTTTGTCTTGTTGACCACTCTCCTCATTCAGTTGCGTGGTGTCTGTTTTTTCATTTTCTCTGATTTCAGTTTCTTCCTTGTCCAAATTCTCCATTACTCTATTGACATTGTGCTTGGTTTCAAATACTTCAATTTCCTGATTGAATTCAGTCAATATAAGTAAAAGATTTGTGTAATAGATTGCAAAAATGAATTTTCTTTTGTTCACAGCAGTACGTTTGTAAATTTTTACTGTTTACTTCACCAATGCCTAACCTGAACAGTGGGATTTCTGTCATGTTCAAATTCTGGTATGCAGCTTTGTTTGGCGGTAAGAATCACATTTGATTCATTGAGATGGAATGCTTTTTCCTGCTGAGTTATATCAGTATGACTTTTGACAAAGGCAGGAGTGGGTGATGTTGTGTGGACTTCTTCCTGTGGTGTTTGCATTCCTGTTACTTCGTCAATCTTTTTTTCTTCTTCCCTTTGATTGAATTTTCTGTTGTCTTGAATCTCTTCTGTTAGAAATATAAGAAACATCTGAAGATATTATCTTGTAGAATATTACCTGTATCTTAGATAATCTCTTTGGATTTATTCTTCTTTTATAGTTTGATTTATGTCTTCATTTATTAAGAATCTTTATAGTTATAGGAATATATTTTTAGAAACAGATTTATTAGAATATATTTACAGGCATATCATATCATGTATTACAATTAACTTATATTGAATGGACTCTCATGAATTCCACACACAGTTTCTCATCTCTTCGATCTACTTTTCTCTCTTTCAACACCTTTGTCCCTGGAAAGAGATGTTGGAACCTCTTCTTGTTCCCTAGTCTAATTAGTGGTTTTATTTCTGCAGTTTCCTTAGTAAAATATTGTGACATTTGCACCTCTTTGTTAAATTTCTCTGTATCATTTGCTTTTGGCTGTATCACTTGTTGACTAGTCTTATCAACTTCAGTTTTGACTGATACAGCATTGGCTATTGGTTGCTATAATTTACACAAAAAGCTGCATATCTTTCTATTTTATATGAGCATTATAAAGCCTTGTAAAATTTAAGTAGACCTAGGGCCACAAACATTCCCATAGCGGCACAAAAGAATACAAGGTTTATGTTGACATCCACGTATCGGAGTGAATAGAACTGTTGATGTCATCTAATGATGCTAATTTCTTCCTGCCATTAATATATGCTGTTGTGTTCCTTCTTGGTTTTGATTTTTGAGTCAATTTCGATTATAAAATTTCAAATCTTAGTTACCTTCGGTTTCTGACTTTGACATCTCCAAATCAGTGAACTGTTTGGCATCTGTTCCATCCTTTCCTCTGATTTCACTTGCATCCTCGTCTAAATTCTCTATTATTGTGCCGGCATTGTCCTTTGTTTCAAATACTTCCCATTCCTATTTGAATACGTAAAAGTATAAATTTTGTATAACAGGCAAGGAAAAGAAATGATTTTTGTTTGTTCACAACAGACTGATATATATAAACATATATATATATATATAAACATATATATATATATAAACATATATATATATATATATATATATATATATATATAAATATATATATATATAGACATATATATATATATA